AGGGTTTTAGGGTTTTAGGGTTTTAGGGTTTAGGGTCTTAGGGTTTTAGGGTTTTAGGGTTTTATGTCTTTTTTTAGCGTTTTAGGGTTTTAGGGTTTTAGGGTTTTAGGGTTTTCGGGTCTAGGGTTTTAGGGTTTTAGGGTTTAGGGTTTAGAGTTTAGGGTTTTAGGGTTTTAGGGTTTAGGGTTTAGGGTTTCAGGGTTTTAGTTAGCTATGGTCTAAACTCCTGGTATCCCCCTTAACAATCCCTATAATACTCCCCGACATAACCCTCTTCAAGGACTCTAGACTACAGCTCATATAGTAACCCTACTTATCGACAAGTAGGGTTTGGGGTTTAAGGTTTGGAGGGGCCTTCAGACTTCCACGGTTTAGGTTTTAGGGTTTGCGTTTAGGGGTTATAGGCTTTAGGGGTTTAGGGGTTTAGTGTTTACGGTTTAGGGTTTGGTGTTTAGGGTTCAGGGCTTAACGTTTAGGCTCTAGGGTTTAAGGGGGTGTGTGATAGTCTAAGAGAGGCCCGACATGTTTGGACACTACCATGCTTCACCCTAAACCCTAAACCCTAAGCCCCTAAACCCTAAATCCACCCTAAACCCTAACCCCCTAAACCCTAAACCCTAAACCCCTAAACGCTAAACCCTAAACCCCTAAAATTCTAAACCCTAAACCCCTAAACCCCCAAAACCCTGTGGAAAGTAGACAGAACCCTAAGGCCAGGCCTCCCACGGCGAACTTTCTGTGGGCAATGGAGTGCACGGGTTTAGGGTTTAGGATTTAGGGTCTAGGGTTTAGGATCTAGGGCTTAGGGTTTAGGGTTTAAGCTTTAGGGTTTAGGATTTAGGACTTAGGGTTTAAGGTTTAGGACTTGCTGCTCATGCTCAGAGGGTTGAGTCACCCTACAACCTTTCGGGCTTAGGGTTCAAGCGTTTCGGGTTTAGGGTTATAGCACCCCTTAAGTAGATAGAATACGGAGTATATGGTGGTCTTATTAGAATATACCCAAAGCCGTATTCTATCTATTTAAGGGGGACTATACACCCTAAATCCTAAACCCTAAACCCTGATCCCCCTAAACCACAAAATCTCCCTTAAAATCACCTAGGACCAGTCTTTTCTCAGGTTCAGTCATGCCTAAGCTATGCCGTCCAGCTGCTCAAATCCTGTTGATGGAAATGGGCTGCTGTTAATTATGGCACTCCTCAGATAGATACGTTGGAATATGGGGATTATATAGGGTTATATAGACATGGGATTATAGTGGTTATCTAGATCTTCGGGTTTAGGGCTTAGGGTTTTCCAAAATCAGGGGCACCTTTTTGGAGTCCCTCTAATAAGGGTTATAGTATTTTGGGGTCTTTATTGGGGTCCCGCAGTTTAGGGGAACTACCAAAGAACCCTTCTTGAAATGAAGCACCACAAGCCGCAGAATTATAGGCTTCTAGGGCATGTGCAATTGCTGGCGTAGGTCTAAACCCTAAGCCCTAAACCGTGTTCCGGGTCGGTAGCTCCCTCGGTGTGAATTTCGCCAGAGAGTCTGGCGGTTAAGGGTTTAGGCTTTCGGATTTAGGCTGATTTAGGGTTTAGGATGTAGGGTTTATAGGGCTTAGGATTAACTCCCCTATGGTTTTGGAGATTCCTGGGCTCTCTAGCTCCACTTATTATATTGATACAGACTATCCCTAGCTCCTTAGCTCCCCCCAAAAGTATGGGTAGTTAACGATTCAGAGCTCAGGGCTCAGGCCGTTGCCACCGAGTTGCATCGAAGCACTCTTGACAGCGTAACATTTGCCTGGGCAGGGGGAACTTGCAGCTAAGGTAATTAGCTACTGAATCAGAAAAACTAGGGTTTAGGGTTTAGGGATCACTTTTGAATTTGATAGTGCTAAGTCATGGTATGTGTCCTTGTCACCACCATCATCATGGTACGCATCCACCATCATCAGTCAATCCGTGCCGCTACAACGACCACGAGTGCAGTAAAAACGGTCGCACAGTAGGGCCTCCAGGATATTGTCAACGTTCGTCGTATTGGGGTCCCCATTTTGGGGGAAACTACAAAGTACGTAGGGGGCCCTTTGGCTTGGGGGGCTCTTCACAATAAGGATTGCGGCATACTTGAATCTATGCTTGACCCCTCCTTATTGAAACCCCCAGTTCTGGGTAGCTTCCAAAACCAGCAGCGCATGATTTTAATGAAGTTTCATAGTAGGCTCCTGGCATAGCGCCGCTTCAGGACTTGGATCTCTGCCCTCCAGTACACACCCGGAACCCCAAATCGCATGGAAGGCCTTCTGGGAGAAGGCGGGCTGTGGCGTCTGAAGCGTCCCCTGCAAGCCAAGCTTGAGCAAAGCGGCAAGCAGAGCCAAGTGCTGCTTCCCGCAGGCCGTGATGGGAGGTTGTAGGGATCTTCTACTACTTCCATGGGTTTGAGTTTGAAGGTATCCTATACTACAGCTATGGGCCTAAAGAGTTGTGAGGTTTCATAGTGTCATAGGCTACTACGCTGACCCCTGTCACTTAGGGTCGAGCGCGTATACTCCCAACTAAGGCTTTAACAGCCATTGCATAACTCGTCAATAGACCTTGTTTGCAGGGGGGAGTTCAGGGTTGGGGGTGGGGGAGTTGTCTAAAGCAGGGTGGTAGGGTTTCGGGTTGAGACATATATGAGCAGGTTCCTGTCCACAGGTGAGCTTGGGTGTCTGATGGTCGTATGTGTAAGCCCTAAACCTTAAGCTTAGAGGTCAGTCTTAACCTTCCATCAGGGTTCAAGTGCTCATATGTTGTCTCTTAAGATTGCCGAAGTGTCCCTTAGCCCTTAATCCTAATCCTTTAATCCTGAGACCCAATGAATCAAGCCTTAAATCCTAACCCCTGAGCCAACAGCCTGAGTCCTAGCTTCCTACAAGCCCTACACCGTAAACCTTAAATACTAGTTTTCATTTTCTTTTCCGTTATAGAACCCCTATATAACTCTATAACATGCTGATTTCCATGTTCTTCTCCATTATCCCCCTGAAATTCCCAAACTCACCCTTGGGCACCCCAGGCGTGGCTCTCGTAGAGCTGGCCTCAACTGACGGCCGCCTCCTCTGGAGGCCTCCAACCTGCAAAGACCTGCAGCTCCTCTGGGGCAAGGAGCCTTCCCAGAGGGGTTGGGGTGTTGCAAGGGTTTATAGCGGCTGTAGGGTTTTGGGATCTCAGGGATCCTGGGTTGAGGTTTAGGATTTTAAGGACTTGGCGTTAAGGGTTTGTAGCGGTGACTCCCTGTTGCTTCATGGATATTTTCAGGGACCAGACAGAGAGCCAACTGGTTGTGGTAGTGGGTGGAGGAATGCATCCCCACAATAGACCCTGTATAATCCCCAGTACACATGTCGCTTCCCATTCCCTAAAGCCTAAACCCAGAAACCCCCGACCCCCCCCCCCCCCCAAAATACGTTCATGTTCTTTGCTATGTTCTGCGTTTCCTATAAATAGACAACCAAAACCCTAAACCCTAAACCCTAAACCTAAACCTATAGTCAGATCCAGGAGGGCGACGCGCCCTCGAATCCGAGTGCCGCAGCCGAGCCACCAACTCCTTGGACGGCGCTGGAGAGCGGCTTGGGCCTGTCATTCCCAAAAGGGTCCATGTAGCTATATAGTATAGGGCCTAGGGTTTGGGTTTAGGGTTTGGGGTTTAGGGTTTTGAATACCTATATGGTATCTACCTGGGCACCAAAGTAGTTATATTGCAGCCTCTTCAGGGCCCAAGTATATGCTACATAGCTACATGGACACTTTGTGAGGGCTGGTTTCTACGTTGGGTTTTCCATAGGCGGGGAGCCCGAATGTGGACTTCAGTATATTACACCTTATTCTTGAGACGCTCAAGATGGGGCCTCTAATTTCTGGAAGACCGTGAATGTTTCTTTCCCGGCCCATTTATTCCTTGTTTGTAGTTGTTAACAAAAGCAAGACCACATCCCAGACGAGAAGAGGTTTGAGCGACGAGACGGAAGTCCTGGCGTCTTTTCGCAAGCCGGATGACGTTCCGATTGCGAGTCTGGAGCACTGGCTGCTGAGGCCAGCGGGGTTGCTGGGCCGCGTTGTACAAATCAGGAAAGGTCTCTCGCTGACGGAGGTTGGGCTTCTACGGGATCTGGCAGGACAAATTGGTTATTTGAGCAACGTTTGTTTTGAATCCTTCGTTTAGCCCAGGTTCAGGTAGACGACTCAGCCGCCCCAAGCATCAGACAAACTCCCGCTAAATGCTCTCACCTTGAGGGACCTTTTGATCATGGAGCGCCACGGCACGCGTTACTGCAAGCTGAACATCATGCGCATCGCCCAGCCGAGCGAGCGCGCCACCATCGAGTTCCGGCAGTTCCCAGGCACCTTACGAGTTATCGCCTGAGAAGCCTTGTCAAGGTACTTGAAGCTTGATGAGCAAATGAGTCATACAGGTGGTATTAGAGGTACCCTAGTGTCATAGCCTAGATATCGCACTTCTGATTCAATGTACACATTGTATACCTCTACTCCTAGCCATGAACCTCCAAATAGCGGATCATCTTTAGGAGTTGGAGAATCCCTAAGTCGTTTATGAAGAGCATAATTATCAGGGTTCTTTGAAGCCATTTATGATAGAATATTTCGTAAGAGAATAATTGAGCAGTCAGTCCGAAAGCCTTGTCGCACTTTAAAGCCCAATAAGGTCAAAACATTCTCAAGATTGCGCAAATCCCAGAAGAATTAGATCCAGCAGACGATAGCCGCTGACTGCAAAATCAGGATTTCGAACGCACATACAGTTGGCCCCGAGCCTGTAATTAGTCCTTGTGAACCTCCACATTTACTCTCTTTAGCCCAGTACCACTACACCCCTGATTGATGCTTGCAACACGACGCTTTGGGCTATCGCCCCCACCCATAACAGGTGCAAGTATTGTCGTTGTAGTGCTGCTATATCCTTGGTAGGGGGCCTACATAGGCCTATCATCAGGTGGGGGACCCAATCAACCAACCTCCCCCAAACCCTAAATCTCCAAAACTCCGACCAAAGCTTCAAGCCCTAAGTCCCACGCCCCTAACAACCCAAAACCCCAAAGCAACATGAGCTACGGCCCAAAGTTAAGTTGGGGGGGACCTACATAGGGTTTATACGGGACCTACTCAGGAATATACCTCAGTCCAGGGGTCACCCAAAACCCCACAACCCTCAAACCCAAGCACCCTAGCACCCTAAAACCCTAAAACCCTAAACCCCTAAACCCTAAACCCCTAAACCCCTCAAACCCTAAAACCCTAAAACCTTAAACCCCTAAAACCCTAAACCCCTAAACCCCTATGAAGGTGGGGACTTCAACCAACCCCTCCTCATCTGGGGTTGGGTCAAGTTCCTTGGGCTCTTGGTCACCCACGCCTGCGCATGCGTGCCCAGTGGCTGGACTGCGGTGGCGAGGTTTTTTGGGGATTCGGGTTTAGGGTTTGGGGTTAAGGTTGTTGGTTGGTTGGTTGGTTGGTTGGTTGGGGGCTTAGGGTTTAAGAGGTGAACGTTGAAGGCTTACAGAACTGATTTTAAGGATGCCAGCTTGACCACGCTAAGGGGACCAGCTCCGTTCATAGCATACACACACACACACATATGTGGTAGTTTCCCAAAATAGGGGGACCCCAAAATAGACCCCAAAATAATATAAACCCTATTATAGGGACCCAAAAAAGGGTACCCCTAATTTTGGGAAACCCCTATATATATACATATATATATATATATACGCTGATGTAGTGGTTACTTCAGTTCCTCGACAGCAAACCAGGCAGCGGTGCTGGTGCTGAGTTGCCTACGGAGGGATCTGAAGAGGACATTACCTGAACCCTAAAAGTATGTAGAATAATGGCCTTTTGGGCTGTATTTAGGGGTTTCAGGGTATGTTTTTACTTACTTTTGGGGTCCAGGTAAGGGCAGCAGCCATGCTTAAGTGGGAGTCCAGTGCACAGAGATTGTGTTTTCAAGTATCAGGTCTCTCCAGGGGCGTTTTGCACTCAGAATCTATGCGAGTAGGTGGGGTGCAGCAAGGTAGCAGAATATCGCATAATTGTTAAGGCATTCTTGCATAACAGACATTTTTGCCGTACCCTAGAAAAATGACGACTTGTTGTGCAGAGTGTCCCACCTCAGAACCACAATATCGAGACTGGTCAGCAAGAAGCTGCCCAGATGAGTTGAACATCACTTTCTACATGGTAGGTTCCATAAATGGGGGGACCCCAATATAGATCCCAATATCCTCCTTATTATGTGGACCCCCCAAAAAGGTAGCCTTTATTTTGGGGGAGGGTATGTAATCCAATGTATTTTTACACAGGTCTCCTCTGACAGTTTGAAGCTGGTACACTCCTAGCAGGGTTTACGGTTTGGGGTCCTAGCATGACTCGACAGATTCGCCCATGGTCTATGATGGTCATTCTAGCTTTAATTACCACTATTCTTGCTACTCTACTTATTGTTGCTACTAACCTTACTACTATTGAAGTAAATTCCGATTATTGCTATCATTACTTACTATTATTGAAGTAAACCACCTTACTTCCATGCAGCTATTTCAAGCCTACTGTTGCAGGGCAGAGGGCTTGTGCACTACAGAGGGAAAGGATGGATTCTTCCGAAGACAAACAAAAGAGTCCATTTGCGCGGGGCCCCCCCATAGCAAGGACTATGGTAAATTTAGGCTATGTGGAGGCACCCTACTTCTGGAAACTACCGGATGAACATTCATGATCTGGAGCCCCCAACCCTGACCCTTAATCCTAAACCCTCCCTGAACCCTAAACCTTCCGTAAACCCTGGAAGCAGCTCCCACCCTGTAATAGTGGTATAAGAAGAATATAAGAGGACCCTAATATAATCCCTATTATCCCTTATAGTCACTATTACTGGGTGGGGGGTCCACCTAACGTAAACCCTGCAAGGAGCTCAAGCGCTTTCTCCGGCTTTCATCTGAGACTTGCCTGCAGAGTGAGTAGCCTTTGACGTTGTCGGGTACCACAAAGCCCAAAACAAACAGAAGACCTATAGTCCCCCTTTAGTAGATAGAATATGGGGCTTTGGGGATCTTATTACAATATACGCAAAGCCACATTCTAGCTACTTAAGAGGGACTATAAAATCCCTGTCCCTGAAAGCCCGAAAGCAGTCATTGAACCCTACTAAAGCCCTTATCCCCAAACCCTTATCAGGCACCTACAGACTAGTTAGGGAAAACAACAGTTATGATCAGGTCATGTCCTACAGTTTCTTCTTCTTCTCATTATTCCTGACAAACATCATTATAACAGGTTTTCCCAGTGTCAGGTACCCCTAAACCCTAAACCCTGAACCGTCCTAAGGATAGCCTGCTCGGGGCCTGGTTTCGAGATCTGAGAAACCGGCTCCCTAAGCCCAGCGTGGCGTTGCTTCTCAGCTTGACACGATTTTGGGGCTAATGTAGACCCTCCTTTTGGGGTTTATTGTGGTTATATTGGGACAGTGGAAAAGCAGATGGAAACTGCTATTAGGGCTTAGGGTTAAGGGCTTAGGGCTCAGATGGGCTCAGGGTTTAAGGATTTAGGGTTTAATTAGGGTTCAGCTTGTTTCGCTTTTGGGGCGGGATTTTGTCTATATAAGCTATAGACTAAACTCCTTGAACGGGGGCTGTATAGGAGACTACTGAGGGGTTACTAAGCAGAATACTAGGAATTAGACTGTAGCTCACATAGATCTTTTTGACATGTGGCATGGAGGGTTTGGGGTACAGGGCGTAGTGCCCAGGATGTAGTGTGTATAGGGTCTAGGCCTTGATCTTGAAGTCCGTTGTAAGCCCAAGAGCTGACGGCAGCAGAATGCATGTTTCAGACAACCCCTTGACGTCAAGGGAAAGAACAGTTCAAAAATACACAAGTCCCGGGCAAGATATTGATTTCTGAATGCGCGGCTCTCTTCCGACCTGCTAAGCTTCTAATGCTTGAGGCAAGCGATGAAAGACGAGTGGAGTCGCCTTTGGCTGTCCTGGGCGCGCGCAAATGCACGGCTGTCTGAGGACGCGGGTTTTCACGACAGGGGCTGGAGCGTTTTCTCAAGACAACCAGTGGAAGGATAAACCACTTTTTCTTCGATTTCTGTGATTACTGTTCATGCAAGGAGGTTTGGCTACAACATAGGCTTCAGAAGCCTTCCGGCTTCAGGGTCTGGGTGGTGACCTTCACAGACATTAGGCTTCAACTTAACAAGACACTTGATTGCCTAAACTCGGAGTTCCTTGAAGATTCGCGAGTAATGATATGGTGCAGAGCGGTGGCCCTTGCTCGATAGGCCTGTTGCAGGGCTTTCAGGCCAGTTAAGGGACAAATCTTGAGGTTTTAACCCCTAACTCCCAAACTCCTAGACATCCCTAGACCTTGTAAACCTTGTACCTGAATCTTCGACCGTGCATTTCAGCATACTACAGTCCTTACAACAGACACCCCCAAAAAAGCATCCCCTAAACCATCCGCGGTCAATCTCAACGAAAAGCTTCTGACTTCCCTCCTTTCAGGACCGCGCCATCCGGATAGCGCAGGACCTGGAGGCTTCAAAGGCGCAACAAGTTTGTGTGTGTGTGTGTGTGCGCGCTTTCTCATGGGGGCATCTCAGACAGGGGGACTTTGAGGAAATATACATGTCCAGTATAGGTTAGGGAGAGGTTGTGGGGGTCCCTATGAGAGATGCTAGAGGGATAGTTTTGCGAAACTGCTACATGGCCCCACCATTACCCCGGTATAGTGTTTAATTACAATTCGCAAAAAGGTTCTTGAATATTTTCTTTCAATTTCAGGGGTAGATGAGCCGTAAACCCTACAACCCTAAAACCTTAAACTCCAAACGTTAAACCCTACAGCCTTAAACCTTAAGCCCTACAACCTTAAACCCTACAACCCTACAACCTTTTGCAACCCTAAACCCTATATAACCCCTATTATATCTCCCGCTATAGAATGCTTTTAGAACTCCTTGAAGGTGGGTTCAATCATGGAGCTGGAAGCTGAACTGGTCCATTTTTCCAAGGATCTTAGGGTTTAGGGTATAAGGGTTTAGGGTATAAGGGTTTAGGGTCTAAGGGTTTAGGGTTTACGGTTTAAGGGTTTAGGGGTTTAGGGTTTAGGGTTTAGGGGTTTAGGGTTTAGGATTTTTGTAGAATCCTTTTTCGAGCTTTCTGTTAGCTTGGCTTTCTGGTTCTCAGTAGCGAAAAGGGGAATATAGCTCAATATGTTCCATAGGGAGTATATGGGGATTATGTAGGGGATTATATGCGGGTTATATAGGAGCTTTGGGGACTGTAAAAGGATTATATTCCTTTCTTCCCTGCTGGGAACCAGTAATTTGGGGGAGTGTAGGAGTTCCAAAGTTTGGTACCTGCATTGGGTAGCATTCTCTAAGCAGGATACGATCGTCCCCGATGTGGGGTAAGCTAACATCCTCGTTTTGGCTATAGTATTTTCTCTATTAAGGATATAGTGTTACAAATTTGTTTGGGTTTAACAACCAGAAAGCACTACCGAACTGGGCTTGCCTGCTTTTGAGGTCCAGGTAATTTTCATCCAAATTAGGTACTTGTAACCTCACATGCGAATCTGATTAATCTCTTCCCATGCGCTTCTGTTTTGAAGAGGCCTGGCGGCGAATCTTCCAAGCTGCGTCGGGCATGAAAGCATCGAAGCTTGAACAGGTATGATTCTACAGTATACGGTAGACAGGGGTCTAAGTACTCAATATAAGTCCTCCCCCAAGACACTGCAACCATGACTACCAAAATCCCAAGTATTCAATCAGTGGGTACTTGGCATGGGCCTTCACGGTTACGGCGCCCGTGCGGGCTTGTGGGTTTGAGCACATTCAGAGGTATGCAGGATGACGCCGATGCGAGCGAAACTGCGGTAATACGCACATCAGGGGTAAACAGCGTTCTACAAGCAAAATGCTGAAACACAGTAAGGCCTGTCTCCAGGGTTCATTTTTGCGCGTTTTGCTAAAGTTTCGCGGGCGTTTCCAAAGCAGGCACTTCTGCTGTACAAACACTGAACATTTGCATCAAAACGCGGGTCCGTACAGGCGCTTCCACCATGAACATGATCATTAGTTATGAGGCTCCTCATGCTTATTGTGCTCGCGTTTGAAGTATGTTGACCATTAGGACTTCGCGCAAGTATAGGCTTGAATGCCCAGCGTTGCGATTAGTCTACCCGTTGTGCCCAAAGTTCAACCACATATTGAGCAGGGCGCATTGTCACAATCCAAGGCCGTCTTCCCATCCACGGACCCTGTTTGGGAGCCTTTGTCGCAGCGGCGCGGGGAGTGCGAAGCGTACATGCAGCATCTGTACCAAGCCGTGGCGCTACATTTGAGATACCACGTGCGCCTGCTACGTGCGGCAGAGGAGGTGAGCAGACTTGGGTCCGTGTCCACCATTGTTTATACTGTGCTGTCAGACGGGCGCTTGCGCAGAAGCAATTCTGAGATGAGAGAGCTGCAAGCCACGGTGCTGGAGTCTCTGGGATGGAGTGCCTGCCCTTCAGACCTTGCTGCCACAGTCGCAGATCTCGGGCGACAAGGGGCCGAGTTAACCCTGGACTACGCAAGGAACTTGCTGGAGAAATGCGAAACAGCCTGCGTCTGGTCTTCACCTGCAAAGAGGCTCTGCGATGGAAGCTCCGATGCAATGCAGGTTGAGATGCAGATGGCTCAGGATGAGCAGCCTTTGCAAAGATCTGAAACAATTACGGGGCAGCAACCTACAGAAGTTCTTGGATCACGCCTGCCCCAGCTGCTGGTATGGAGGGTATACCACGAGCTTGTGCGCTGGTTGCTGCTTCCGCGCGTCGACGAAGTTACACACGTCTGGGCTGGGTTGGAACAGCGAGGATGGGATGCGGAACGTGTGGACTCCCTGTGGCTCCGCATGCGAGGGCACTCCCACCCAACTGCCCGAGATTTGGCGGCAGCTTGGTTTCAGCAAACTCATCGGCAAAAAGGAGTTCAAAGGCATGCTCAGGCTCACTAGCAAGAAGCCCATCATGAGTTGCCGTGCATCGCAGAATCTTGCATGAAGGACTTCCATGTTTTTGTGCCACAGAGCCGCCTTTCCCACATATGGGGCTTCCTACACCCCACACTCCAACGCCGTGTGGTTTGCCTCTAGGGTTCCCACGGACATAATAGGGAGATGGGGTCCCTAGCAAGAATGAACAGAGGTAGTTTGAGCAACTCCGAGACTGGCTGTGAAGCAGATCTTGAACTTCCTGCCAAAGTCCCTACATTTCAATGTAAGAAAAGGCGTCGCTTACTTTTATACAAGCCCTGGCGTGTGCTTCAACTTGTATTCCTGCACTTGAAAACGCGGTCATGCAGTTATCATGCCGAAAATATTTTGTAGTTCCACCCGCAGCACGAGCTCACGGGCAGGCGACCTTATGTACTCTCACCATTTCTTGTAGTCGATCTTGCGATTGCTTCTTGATGTTCAAGGCTTAAGGGTTAGTAGTTTACATTGTATTTTCCATTATCCCTATATAAACCCCAATGACAGGAATGATCCTACCATCCTTGGGAATTTTACGGGGCCCTCAGGGAGAGAGTCGGCGAACTCAATGGGGAAGTCATTCAAGGTTACAACAACCGTCTTTGTGGGGTCGCAATCCATACAGAGTATGCGCAACTTTCATATCATTGGGGTAGCCACTAAGGGTTCTGCAGGGTAATTCAGGGAACCTTCAAAGCCTCCAAATAGCCTGCTTGCAGGACGCGTTGCCTTGTGAAGCGAGCGCGGCCACATGACGTCGTGGACAGCTAAGAAGGTGCGATGGGTGTGTCTACCCTCACCCATCCCAGAGAGATGAGAGGGGGTGTTTTACCCAGGACTAGGTATGTTGGCAGTAGAGTTTGAATATTGGCGTGCGCATTCAACTGTCCATTTCGGGGGACAATTCAATAGGTACATTCCGATATTCGTATGACATAGGCCAAGGATTCATGAGGATAGGGCGTTTAGATGGTGATTTACAGACCTTGGAGATGAGCATGCAAGGCTCAGGGATTTTGGGGGTGCTTCATTGGGATCCTAGGGCCATATCAGGATTTCACAGGGATTTCAGCCGTCCCCATATAAGGTTGATGTGTCGTTTGTCCCAGCACTCCGCCAGGAAACCTATCCATTTATGGGCAAGGAAGAGATTTCCCTATAAAAGGCTCATCGTATTTTGGGGGTCCATATCAGGGTCGCCCTGTTCATGAAAATTTCCAGGACAACAGCGCAGTCGAAAGTTTGAAAGCCGCTGCAGTGCTGGTAGAAGCCGAGCAGGCAAATGTTTCGCCGTCACGTGACGCCTCGAAGATTTTACTGGAGAATGGTTGTGCCCAGCCAGTTCCGGCTATGTAGACGAAATTGCAATCGATATCAGTCTGACGCGCTGAAGTTCTGAGAAACGATGTCCACCCAAAGGTCTACGACAATTTTTTGTAATCAAACTACCATCCCAGCACAAGCTTGCGCCGCCTGATGCAGAACATAAACCGAGCTATAGTTTACACTCCTTAAACTATAGTCTAAGTTCCTTAAAGGGGCTCTAGGGGGGATTGTATAGGAGCATATTATGGGGGCCATTCAGGGGGATACTAGGACCTTTCACTGACTATACCTGGAAGTATTTATTATGTGGTAGATGCGGGGCTTGACTTGGATGCAGAGGTTAGTTAAGCACACACACACACATGACCCTGACATCTATATGGTCAACCTTTTCCCAAAACTCAGAGTCCTTTATTCTCAGATGATTAGGTCGTATCCTTATATGGTCATTGTACATCCAATGCGGAACTACGCAAATAGATCAAGCGCAGGTTCCGTTTCTACCCCCCCAAATGCGTAAGGATCCTCAGAATGGAGACCCTCAGATTCATGAAAGGCACGAAGAGGAATTTCCAGAGGAGGGGCGGGGGCCACTAAAGACCCAAGAGATCATAATCCTCATTCAATGTGACTTTCCCATAAGGTAGCCCCTTATTTCGAAAACTCTTGAACCCCAAAATCTCTAGGCCTGTGGCGCCGCGCCACTGATGTGATTGCTACGTTGCATGCCTCTACCTGCCATGGGTTCGGGACGCAGGATTCGCGGGCACACACTTGAACAGTGTAGGCAATAAAGCGAGCTTTCTAGGGATCAGGGTCGAGGCAGACCTTTAACCCCGCAATTTCTGCTTTTGTTGACATCTTGTCGCACAGTCTTAAGAAGGTCATGCAAACCTTATCCCTTCCCCTCCGATGGAAGATTGTTCCCCTAAGGCTGCTTGTGCCTACACAGTGCTCAGAGGCATATTGATGAGAGAATTTTTCAGCGGCACAGGGATCTTAAACTTCTGGGAGGGAAGGGATAACAAGCTTCCTGCACCCTGGGCCCCGTTCCAAAGCTGGATGGTGGCAGCAAAGCAAAACGATATGCAATTTCAGGAAAAAGCCCGCAACGTAAATCTTCCAAGACTCATTGTTCATAAGCTTTACGTCAGGCTGGCACCAGGGATGATCAGTTTGAAGCGACATGAGGGTATAAGCCGGGGCTGGTCAAAGGGAGGAAATTGTAAATCTGGTGCTTTGGTTTACGGTGGTTCGTGGGGCGAAAAAGGACTATAATGTATATATAATACCTTTATAGCCCCTATGTGACACAATCCCTTATTCCCTGCTAACGTCCAGTAAGCTGAACGTTGGGTTTTGAAGGTCAGGCCCGGGATTGTTTAGGGTTTAGGGTTTTAGGGTTCAGGATGTTAGGGTTTTAGGGTTTGGGGGTTTAGGGTTTTTAGGGTTCAGCATTTAGGGTTTAGGGTTGGCACGGAGCCACCCATCCTTTGTCTAAGGTTAGAAGTAAAAGTATGGGCCCATAATATGGGTCCTTAGGCCTTCTAGGGGCATGTGAGGGATCCTTAAGGGTGCATATCCGGTACATGGTAGTTTCTGACAATAAGGGGACCCCAATATAGACCCCCAAATACTGGAATCCTTACCATAGGTTCCCCCAAAAGGGGTACCCCTAATTTAGGGAAACCCCTACATGAGGACCCCTGGCCCTCCGACTTTGTGGTTTCTTCGTCTCTTTCCCTCTTTCTGGATTTCATCAACCATTTCGTATCTTAGGCTTTGGTTTGTGTGCGGGTCCTCTGTTTGATTCTAGAAGTATCCTAGAAGAAGCTTCAACAAATGAAAGTTCGCGCTTGAGGCTTGCCCTTTAAGGGTTGTACCTTTTTTCGTGTATATTCAACAACGTCTAAGAAGGAGCCACAACAGCAGACCTTGACCAACTGAGCTATGCGATGAGTCAGGTGTAACGTTCTGAAGCACCCCAGCAGTTCCCAGCTTTGGCTAGCGTTGGGCTAGCATCATTGTTTTGCAGTTTTGTCGTCCTTGTCGTGGGCGTCGGGAGGGAGATTCCCAACTCTGAACTGAAGAAGGCGATGTACCGATTCCGAGGAAAAGCTTAGCCAACTAGCTCAGGCTGCGCCCCATTCACCTCTGCTGGCGCTCTTACAGGCTAGAGATGACATCCCCAAAGCACTGGGAATTCGGTATTGGCTTAGGCAAGTAGACTTTGCTACGGGTTGCGTGGTCATGTTGCCAAAATGTAGCCACTCCGGGAGTGTCTGCTTGCAGTCCAGAATACCTCATGTTGGAGGTTCGGGCCCTGCCTCCAATTCGCGATGATGCCTGTTAGTTGACCCAAACCCAGAGAGCGGAATATACCCTAATTGGTACGACCAGTCCCTACTATGATTTAAGCTCTCTTCCTTAACGAAGGTGTATTGGGCTCCCTGGGTACTTACTTGGAAATTGAAATCAGCTTGTGTGTATCTGGGAATACGAACTCCCAAGTATCTGGGAGCACAAATTTGTTGGCTAGTCATCTTCTGTTTGGTAGCTGCTTGACGCAGCAGCGCTGTAGACTCTAGGATTTTACGGCTTGTCAAAATCTTCGGCTTTTACATGTTAACTTACGGGTGCTTACTATAATCCGCATATATACCCCACATAATGTATGACCTCACTCCCTAAACCCTAAGCCTTTGTGGCTCAAGAAGCACCCTCCACATGCAATGGATCAGAAGCCTGAGTTTGCAACAAAGCAGGCCGCGGGCTGATGGCTAGACAGCAAGATGTGCAAGCAAACTGCATAGTACGGTATAATACCACATATTACTATACATGACTCTATATTATATTGTTATGAATGACAAGTTCAACCTTTGCCTGATGAACGCGAAGCTGCGAAAGCTAAGCAAGACTACAACATCTGCAGAGCCTAACATCTGTTGAGCATGACAGCTTCAACAGGTCGTAAACCTCATCAAGCACCTACGTCCATTGCAGCCAACTCTTCTACGGCGACTGTTCTCTGCAGAGCAATGGGACCAGAGCTTGAAAATCCATGGGCAACAGCTTCATGTCACGAAGAGTCACTGGGGCTCATCAGATTCCGAGATTCCCAAACCAACAAACTAAGTGGTAGGCTCTGAAGCAGCCATGGCATCCACTGAGCGAAACAGTGATGAGGCCGCTTCTGTGCGAATAGGTTTGCCGGGCCGTTGTTTTTAATTTGATCTAACTGGAAGCATGAAGTGGTCCTTGGACCGCTGGAGCAAGCTATTCTGTGAACTGAGAAGTTGAGGCTTATCCTGCAGTATTATTAGCATTACTAATAAGAATGTACAAAAATTATATATATGTATATATATATACAGAGGCTTGGTATATTAAAATAGTAATCATAATAGAAATCGTAATCAGAAAAAAAATCATAATGCTTTTTAATACGGGGCGGGCCGGAAGCCATGGGATTGTGCAAAGCTAGACCTGGAACCCTGTAATTGCTCACGACCTTGAGCATACGCCTCATGTAATTAGAAGCCTGACTAGTACAATAAACACTGCTGTTGCCTGATTACTTTCGCACCTTCAGAATGATATAAAACATCCACCGAAACCTGATTCTATGAATTGAAGCAGCTAGATTGCAGAAGCTACAGGGGTTTCTGTTTCGCCTCAAGGCAGACGAGGCTAGGAAACGCACATACGGTCGGGCTCTGAACAGCTACAACTATTCTGTTCCTGTATTCTTTATGATTCTAAACCTTGAACCCCGAACCCTAAACCCTTGACTGTATCATACACCTCAAGTACACCTCGAAACGATTTTGGTCATTGTTTAGGCCCCTACAGTAGCTGAATCCTGGACCGCAGCTATGCCACGGATGAACGTAGTGAGGCAAAGCATAGACGCAGCAGACGCAAGATTCGATCATGGAGCTGTGCGTTTAAGTTTGGAACCGAGGCAATCCTAAACCGTAAGCTTTAGACCTTAATTCCTAAGGCCTGAATCCCTACACCTATAAGCCCTGATTGCTAGTCCCTACACCCTAACTTCCGTGAACCTTTGTACGTACTTGAGGCAATCCAGAATGATCTGGACCGGACCTTTGCCGACATCCCCATGGCAGGGACCTTGGCGGCTAAGGTTTTTGTTGTTTTGGGTTTAGGGTTTAGGGTTCAGGGGGTTCAGGCTTCAGGGGGTTTAAGCTTCAGGGTTTACAGGTCGCTCTGGATCCCCACGCAGAAATTCCTAGTATGACCATGGCATAGGCCGAGAGCAAACCGAACCTGAGCGCCCCACCCCCCTAGAATATAAAGCGATGACAAATATCTGCTCCGCAGAGTAAAACATAGTAATCCTAACTGGGAGAAGCCTCAGACTCTTTCGAATGTCATGGTACACCTTGAGCCTCTTAAAGCTTAAACCTGCTTTTTTGTTT